GTGTGTAAAGTTTGGTAGAGTTTCAGGACTTTTGTTGTTGTCTGATACAATGATGCAGTACAGAGCCATCATGATGTGCTTTGGCAAATAGCCTCTTTTGTGTGCAGATGTATTGAAATGTACTTTTTTTTTTCAAACCTCCATTTCGTTCTTTCTGAAGCTGACCTTAATGGTGACGTGAAGCAATCTGTTGTTCCAACTTACAGAGACACTAGAGTTTCTTCAAATAAACTGTCTCTGTACTGTCATAGCTGTGGTTTTGTGTGTGTGCAGGCCTGGCTGCAGTCACAGACCAAAGGAAAGCGCCTCCTAGTGAGAATAGAAACATCTGACAGCTCTGGAGACTCTACATTAATGGTATTCAGCATGGCATTAATATACAGTATCATTTTATCCTTTATTCTTTTTGCACAGCAAGAAGGACCTGGGTTCAATTCCCCGGCTGGGTGACCAGGGTCCTTTCTGTGTGCAGTTTGTATGTTCGCCTTGTGTCTGTGTGGGTTTCCTCCCACAGTCCAAAGACATGTTAAAATGCCCTAGGTGTGTGTGTGTGTGAGATTGTATATGTTTGTGTGTCTGCCCTGCAATGGACTGACGACCTTGTCCAGGGTGTTTCTTGGCTTCCGCCCAATGACCACTCGGATAGGCACCAGCACCCCCCAGAAGACTAAGAAAGTGTGTGTGTTTAAAGATGTTAGGTATGCTATATAACCCTTCATAAATGCGTTTATAGTGCATTATGAATATAGGATTCACAGGAAGTGTTACCCAAAATTTTAATTTGCCACATTCATCAATAATAATAATTAAATGTTGTTGCTGTGCAACAGCCCTTTATTTACTTTTACTACAATTACTATTTTACTACAATTTGGCAATTTATTCATCTTTTAGCATCAAAGCAACAAATATATGTATCAGAAAATTACACAGAAGTCTCAGCAACTAAATAGAATATCAGATTTTTCAGTATTGGGTGTCCACTCTACCTTTATTACAGCTTCCATTCGTTTCAGGTTTCTTGCTTTCAGTTTTTCAAGGAAAGCTACACAAGTAATTTTCCCACACCTCCAAAGTTCAGTCTTAGAAGACGGTTGCATTTTCTGCTTCTCAGGATCCAAGCATTCCCAAACATCTTCAGTGCTGTTGAGGTCTGGATTCTGGGGCAGTCAGTCCATTGTTCTTAAAACACCAGCAACTTTGTTAGATTTGCAAATTTTATTCTTTGGATGGAAGGATGGACAGAAACACAGATTTTTTTTTGGATCTGAAGCAGGAGTGTAGCTTGATTTTCCCCTCTCTCTCATAAATGAAAGTTTAAGCATTTTTGCACGGTACTGTGGGTCTAAAAATATTCAACACTGGTAATGGAGCATAGCGAGTGTGTAGTGAATGCTGATTTGTATCACTGTGATTTTGATCCTTCCCAGGATGAAGATGGTTCTGAGTGCGACCTCCTCAGTGGGACCTCTGAACTTGATAAGAACCAAGTGGAGGGATGGGTGTGTGAGAAAGAAGCAAAATGAAGCAGAAGGGCAACTATTCCAAACAGCTTTGTGAAAGTCTTAGACTCATGGTTTACTCTGTAGAACATTACAGTGCTCTTTGAAAATTGTGTTATTCTTCCAGCAGTGTGCTTTCTTTTTTTTTCTTTTTTTTTGTACTTGCTGTTCAGGGCCACCTGCTTGACCCCATCTCAGTTGGGTTTAAAAACAGAACTTTTACAAAGATCTCACAATGTTATTTTCTATCCAGATGAATGGGAAATTAGAGACTACAGCAGGGGTGCACAACCCTTGTCCTGGAGGGCCAGTGTCCAGCACAGTTTGGGATTTACCTGCTCAAAAACACCCAATTACATTTATCTGTTAATTGCCTGGCTTAGTGGGTGTGAGAGGAGAAACTACCACTGCTGGACAGTGGCACAGAGCTGTGCACCCCTGAACTACAGAATGCTTTTACTGCAAATTGGCAACCATCTGTGCTAATTTACTCCATTAAAGGGCCCATATCCTACATTTTTCTTCAGGTCAAAAAAGCACAGGTAATTTATTTTTCCATTATATGGGCCCTTTAAGAATCTGTGCATTTGCCCTTTAATTAGGTTTACCTATCTTGTACCGATATTAATTTAAAACTGGTGTACTATACCAATTTCAGCACAGCAAGGACAGTGACATGGTAGCGCATGGTAGTGCTGGCGCTGGTTCAAGCTATGGGGCACAGTGGTGTTGCTAGGACTTATACACACTATATACACTAGGCACCTTATGTAGGTACAGTTTAATAATTGTTGTTAACATATTTGTTTCAACCAGCAATGATGCTGCCAGTTTTAAGACCCCCAGATATATAGATGTACCATGGTTCCTTTCCAATGATGCGTATATTGTTACGCATATTGTTCACAGCAACCGATCAATAATTATTACTAAGTGCACCACTGTATTAGAACCAAACTGCTGTACAAAATAAACTAGCAAATCAGTGCACAGTCATGTTATGCTTTGAAAAGTATGTTTAAGTATAAAATGTAACATAGATTTGTCCAAAATTTGAATTTGGTTGCATCCTACATGTTCACAGAGAGAATAAACAATCCATCTTTAAGTGTGGTTCCTTTGGAGTCCTTTAGAGTTTGTCCCTGACTATCTCTACTATGAAAAACATGACTGCAAAATGCTAAAAGGCTTCTGTAAGCCTCAATGGGCTAAACAGCTAAAAATGAAAAATTAAACTTGTTTCTAACCATTTGCACAGGACATTCCTTAAAATTTGGAAAGTAGATGGATGGATTCTAATCTAAGTAATTTTTCCGTTTTTTTACAGCAAAGAAGTTTTGGGAAGAAGCAAATAGCATTACTACTCAGGCCATTGGCTTAGTAAAGTGGTTTGCACCCACTGATGTCACGAATGTCTGAATAACCTGAGTTTTAAAGCACTCAAAAATATAACATATTTATGTGTTCAGAAAATTAGTGCTCTTTTCCATATAAAAAATGATAGTTTACAAACTACGATTTTGCACAAAAGCTCCATAAGAAAACCATTAATTTTGGACTTGCTTGGGAGTTTGACAAACCTGGAAGACTTTGAGTGGTAATTCTCCTCACTACACATTCTTTGGTTCCATCACATAACAAAACTCAATGTCCGTTAAGCTGTGTGGATGCTGTTATAATACATACTAATATTGTGCTATTATTCCAACTACACCAGATGGTTAACCTGCTACAGTCAGTGCACACAGACAGTAAATCACATTTTTTACAGCCCTATCAGTCTGACTTTCACTTTTTGGATTGGTTGTAAAATAATCTTTTATGCTCTCATTGTTGTATATGTTAATATGAGTGAGGTGTTTAAGTATTTAGCAGGATTTGAGCTGAGGCTGTCTCTAAAGTTTATTTTTATTTTTCCTCTTTTTTCCTTTTTCCTACAAAAGTGTATTAAAAGTGATAGTAGACAGAGACAAAGATGATATATAAATAAAATAAAACAAATAATCAAATAGAGGTGGAAAATGTGGTGATATTTTATCATTATCATGATAAATTTTGATATTGTTATAATATGCAGCATATTCTAAGAATATTGTGTTAGTTATTCACACTTAAGAACACTGACAAGTTGCATGCTATGTTGCAAAGAGAACATAATTAGTCGTGTTTATTTGAATTTAGTGTAGTACAGTATGTGAAATATTGAGTAAAATTCATTTTACAGTTTATCGGTAACCAGTTTTTCATGGCTGTTTTAAATGTGGCACTTCTAGTGCACTGTGTGTGTCAAAATATTGTGAGACATATTGTGTAACAATCTGAATCTTGTACTGTTAAAAAGTATTGTGATATGATTTTGTTGCTGTATTGCCCACTCCTATATTGATTTGTGTGTCAAAAACTAATTAATATCACTCTTTGAAAAGATGGTTCTTCAGGGGTTCTTTAGTAAAGAAAAGGGTTCTATATACAACTACGAACACTCAAAGAGCCCTTTGTATGACTAAATGGTTCTTTACATCATGAAAGTGTTCTTCAGATTGATGGAGAATATACAGTAGATGGTTTAATATAGAGCCTTTTTGAAAAGGGGTCTATATAGCATCCAAAAGGGTTCGGCTATTGTTACAAGCTTGACATCGTAACAATAGAAGAACGCTTTTGTGTTACGGGACAGCAAGGAAGCGGACACAAGTGCAAAGAGGAAAACCCGTGAGATAGGGTGTAAAAAAATTTGAGGCAATGGAGTGTGAATTTGGCACATTGGAATTGAGGTGACCCAGAGCCAGGCTCGAACCACCTATGTGCTGATCAACAGTCCATGGAGTTACTGCTGCGCCACCGGGAAGGACAGGCAATAATGGGAAAAACGCCTCAGGGAACGGGTGATAAAAAGGGCAAACAAAGAGACTGAAAGCAGCATGCTCAAACGAAGGCTGAAATAGAAATGTGAAATAACAGAGAATCAGAAAACACAAGTTACTTCCTCTGTGATTATAAGAGGAAAGCAGACTCTGCTCTTAGTGGAGCAAACACCTTTTGTATGGCTTGGAGCCGTTTGTAGCTCAAGCCTTCTTGTGTTTTTTTAAGTAGTTTTGGGGCAATTACTCTCTTTTGTTTTTTTTTCCAGCCCTCTTTCCTTTTCTTTTTGTATGAATACCCACCTGGGCTGTGTACCATACCGGTCACACCTCTACAAAGTTTGCCACAGCCTTAAGTAGAGGAGTCCACAGGTGTGTCAGGTTGGGCCAAATCAGCCTGAGGGCTTCTGGGAATTGGAGTTCCCTGAAGTTATGGCACCTGGCCGGCGGCGCAGACTGGGCCCTTACATTTTGGTGCTAGGTTCTATATAGAATCACGTACAGCGTATTCTCCATCAATCTGAAGAACTCTTTCATGATGCAAAGAACAATTTAGTCAAGCAAAGGGTTCTAAGAGTGTTCATGGTTCTATATAGAACCAATTTCTTTACTAAAGAGCCCTTGAACCATGTTTTTTAAGAGTGTAGACAAAAAATGTTGTTAAACTAGAATGCCACATTTAAAGAAAATACAAAAGAATTTGTTACATTAGATGCATGTATTTTTAATACACAGCCATGTCAACTGCAATGCACTTCAATACCATGCTGTTGGTACCCACACATACATCTGCTCTTCAGTAACATGCTGACTCCATTCATAGCTATTCACTTAGTAAAAGTTTTTTCACATCGGTTCTTTTTTTAGAACAGCCACTTGATCTTGCCTCTGGACTCACGCTTTCTTTGGGCTTCTTTTCCAGATGTTGAGCCTCTTCAAGTTCTGAAAGTCTTTGTTTCAGTTTCTCCAGCTCTCTGTCCTTCTCCTCCATCTGCCTGCTGAACTCTTCCTGCATCTTGGAGTTTGAGGCCAAAATGCTCCCCTTGAGTTCAGGCAGGATAATCTTCATGAGATTTCTCTCTACCTCCATTTTGGCTTCTCCTTCATACGTCTCCCTGGTCTCCTCCATCTTCTGACTGTGCCTGTCCTCCATCTCTCTTTTCTCCCTCTCTCTCATTTCTTCCAGGCTGTGAATGATATTCTCCATCTTAGTCCTTTTCTGCAGATCTTGTTTCAGCTGTCTTTCCAGGTTTCTTTTTTGTTTAACATCCTTTTCTTCTTTAATCTTTCTCTCTAGTTCAGCTGTTTGTTTATTGAGTTCTCTGATATCTTCTTCATGCTCTTGGATCACTAGCTCTATTTTTCTTAGAGAGTCCTGCACCACCTTTTCTAAGATCTCGTTCACTTCTTCTTCTTCTTCTTCTTCTTCTTCTTCTTCTTCTTCTTCCCTTGCTTTCTCCTTTTCTTCTTCTTGCTTTGTAATCTGAGATTCTGTCTCCGAGTAGATCTCGCTGCTGTAGAAACTCTCTTCATTTCCTGCAACCATCTTCTCTATCTTCTCCAGCAGCTCTGAGGTTTGAGAACCATCTCCACTCTCCTTAATGCTGAGACAGTGAAACCTGTTCCCACATTTCTCTACAAGTCTCTGGACCTCCTGGTTTCCTGACTGGATAAACTCCTCAATGTTCTTCTCTTGGACTTCATCAGTAACAGTGAAAAGGATCATGGTGTTCCTCCAACATCTCTCTCCAAAAATCTCCTCCATTTTCTCCAGCATGCCTCTCTCCTCTCCTGTAGACTGCTTCACTGGCATGACTAGGAGGAAGGCGTGGGGTCCTGGGGCAGACAGACGGACACAGAGTCCCACGTCCTGTCTCAGCTCCTCCAGAGAGAGTCCAGGACAGAACCAGTCAGGAGTGTCCACCACAGTCACCTGCCTCCCAGCCACCTCCCCCTGTCTGCTCTCACTCTGCTGCGTCACTGTAGACGCTCCAGCCTGGCTCCTCTCCTCTCTGCCCAGGATGGTGTTTCCTGCTGCTCTCTTCCCACATCCAGTCCTCCCCAGCAGCACCAGCCTGAGCTCTGCTAGAGGAAGTGACTCTGGAGAGGCTGCACAAGAGGTTTCCACACCCACTGCAAATGAAAAAGGAAGAGTCATTTTAATTGCTCTGTTTAAAGGGTGAAAGAATCCTGATTCTCTGAAATTCACAGTAGTACTGGTGATTTACTGGAATCACTCACCCAGTGGTGGAGCACCCATGCTATCACTCAGTTCTAATTCTGGAGAATCTTCACTTTCTAAGGAACAAAGCCAGAATGTGGAGAATGTTCTCAGTGGTATAGTGCTTGCATAGTTTTTGCCTATTATTATTTTTGTATTTTCAAATCATACTTTCTAAGTGCAGTATAACAGTTTCAATCCTATGCACTTTTTGTCAAATTCAGCAAATATCTCCTAATAGTCCACTAGCTCTTCATCATGAATCCACGCTGGAAAAAAACAGATTTTCGTTCACAGCTCTGCCTTTGGAAATAAGAAATAACCAGAGCATCTCAGGGCAAGCTACACAGTACTATTCCAGCCAATCAGCAACAGGGGGGCATTTGTGCTAGTGCACAGGACAGGGGGAAGGGAAGAGGCTACATGTTAAACTCGTCATGCATCGTCAAGAAGGAAAACTGGCCAAGAAACAGCCAAAGAGGAGAAAATCTGAAGAACAAAGATTGAGAAAGATGTTCTTACACCAAGCAAGGGTGTTTTCATGGTGGAGAGATCTCCAAAAGCAATACTGAAGCCAGCTTCCACTTTGCATTTTTCAGTTCCATCTTAAATGGTGCAGCAGTTCGTTTCTCCTGCCTGAGGTACCTGAATGTAACTGGACCTGCACCGTTTAAGGTGGAACAGGAAAATTCAAACAAGAACCTGAGGCACCAGAATATAACCGCTGCGCCAATTACAGTGTAATCATTCATTAACTGGGCATTAATCATCATCAATTTTCAGCAGCCACTATTATAATAACAGTGTTCACACAGCTGTACCCCACCACTGGTATCACTTTTTTTTTCAACTTCAACATGTAAACACAGTAATACCTTGCTCAACAAGTAGCTACACCAGGTGCTAGCATAGATTAGCTAATGTGTGCTAGTGACTGGTGTAGCTACTTAGTAAAATTAATTGGCTAAGGAAATAAAGTTCAATGCTGTCAATGCATTCTGGCGCTTCAGGCTTCAATACTGCTAGACTATTTAAGGTGGAACGGGAAGTTAGCTAGATAGCTACCGAAACATTAGCATGCTATTAGTGATTCTTTATGCTTGTTTTGAAGAAAACAACCATAATACATTGAAACAACATTAAACTAAGATAATACGATAGTTATTGTAATTTTTTAACTGAGAAAATACTCAGATTTGTGGGTTTCTTTGGTCGCTTGCGCAGCCATCTTGCCAGTTTTTCTTTTTTTCTCATAAAAAGAAAAGGTTAGGGTGTCCCAATTTTTTGGGACCTCTGAAAAACCTTCGTTTGGAGGGCGATGTAGCCCTAACACTTCGCCCTACGTCCTCCATCTCAAGAAAAATTGGGACACCCTAACCCTAGATGTGGACGCACAAAACAGAGGGCTAAGGGCTAAGTGGTAGGGGCAATGGGTGAAATGGGATTGGGCCAATGTCTCTAGGACATAATATAGTGCCTAACTGCCCCCTTAACCTTTTATTTACACCCCCATAAAATGAAACTCTAGCTACACCACCAGTACTCATGTTCAAATTAGAAATTAGTCTTCTTGCTGGGGTACCAAACGTGCTAAGCCTTAACCAATGGGTGGGGCTAGAAATAGTGCAGACTATAGACTGGTCAAATGCAATCGTCATGTTCCCACACGAGTCAGATGACAGCCATGTCTAACAAACACATAAAAACAAATACTGATTTACAGATAAATCAAAACTTTGGCTTTAACTGTTCTTTATGTTCATTTGTAATGCTAGCATCATGTAAGAAATCATTTCATCACCACACAACCTCTAGAGAACCCCATCTGCTTTCACAGTCCTATTGTGTGATGGGAAACACAGGTACTCAACCAGGGTATGGATAGTTTTTGGGCCACTGCCCAAGGGAAAAAGGCCTGGCTCCTCTGAGTCTGCCCACCCATTAAAACCCCAATCATGACAACAGGATTTTATCTAATGAAGCTCAGTAGTTACTCACTTGGTGGAAGCTCCAGCTCCTTGCTACATCTTCTCTTGACTGTTACTGCTGAGTCTGGATCTGTTCTCTCCTGCAGCTGCTTGTTTCTCTCCTCTAGAAGTCTGTCTTTCTCCTCAACCTGCTTGTCTCTTTCCATTACCTGTGTGTCTCTCTCACTTAGAAGTCTCTCCTTCTCTTCAAGCTGTTTGGCCTTTTCAGCCAGCTCAGTTTTCAGTTGCTCCAGTATGACCACCATCATCTGTAGCTGGCTGCTCTTGCTCTGCAGTGCCTCCTCTGCTCTCTCCGATTCCAGCTTCGTATTCCTTAATTGTTCTTCGGTTAGCTCCAGCAAGCTCTGCTTCTCTTGAAGATCCCTTTTAAGGCACTTCACATCTGTTTTACACTCTGAAATGATTAAAGGCCGTTAGTGGATAAAGATTCTGCATGTATTTAAAACTTAACACAGCTCACATTCTTAGACTAGTGTTTTCCACTCCTTTAAAGAATGGCAAAAAATAAAAGTGACACGATTTTCTACTTAGCACAGACTTAGTCAATCAGCCAACCCATTTAAACCATACCCAGGTCTTCATCAATGTCGTGCTGACTTGTCACTGTGGTTTAGGGGGCAGGTTTAGGTTTCATTTCAACACCGGGGGGAGGCATTGCTCATGCTATCTGATATCATATGATAAGGCATTTTTCTTGGTTTAACGAAGTAAATAAATCTGCTAGCCACACCTTCAGCTATAAAAATGAACAAACCTTTGTGCAGTTAAACACAGCAGGCATACATTTTACACAACAAGTGCAGTGCCAAAATCCTAACATCCTGAGGTGACTTATGTTTGTTAGCAATATTAGCTCTAATGCTAAAGAAAAGAAGCTAATTTGAACACTAAACACATTCCCCTTTAAATCAATCCTCAAGGGAACCAATGAAGCAAACTCTTCTATTATCTTTAAGACACGTAATATTATATCTGCTTAAATGTTTCTTTATTTCCTTGGAAAGATCTAGTGGGACCAACGTTTCAACAGCTCTAGCTCTGCCCTGCACCCACCCTCTAATCGTTATTATCTGTATTTAGACCTTCAGTCTCTGTTTAGTGTTTATCAAGTCTGGCTACTGTTTCACATACATTTCTGAGTCAGTCTGATTCTCAGTGTGTTTCCAGTAGTTTCATAGTGTTTCCTAGCCATGCTGTGTCTTTCCCTGGTCTCTGATCTCTGCAGTACTGATCTTTTAGTTTTGATTTCTTGTTTCCGGTGCTGATTTGGTGTTTTAGATTATGTCTCAGACTACACTGCCTGCCCATGTTTCAAACCCTGCCTGCTGCTGTCACAGTGATTTTTGGAGGAGCTCTTTCAATAAAATCTCTGCTGCAAATGCTCTCTGCCTCCTCATCTACACCATTACATTTTCATACTCACCAGACAGCAAAGCAGAGTCCTCCATTTTCAGTCTCTCCTCTTCTGTCCATTTTCTACACCACTGTGAGAGGGAATAAAACAATGTGAGAGCTTCATGTGTAATGCTACACTGAGCACTCGCAGTATCAGTGTGAGTCACCGAGCTGATGGAGCCAACAACACAATGCATGTGAGTCTCAGTGTAATGCAGACTAATGTCATTTAAACAAAGCCAGCTGAAATGTGTTTTAAATTATATGTTGGCTGTTGTTCTTTCCTTCTATATCCAAAATTGTTGAATGAACCAGTTCAAATATTATCTGATGGTTTATAGATTTCATTCATGCATTTCACATCATTCTGCATTTGCTCTGCACTCCATCAGTTAATGACTTATGTGGCAATCGATCTGTTATGTGTAGTAATAACAGGCCTGTATTTATGGAGGCGTTACAGATGGGAGAAGTAAAAAAAAACTCAAACTTTGCCGACAGAAACCATTTAAACAATATAAAACATATAAGTGCTTCAGCTAATGTTTAAAACATAATAGGTAAAGAGACATTATGGCAATTTCATATAGATGGTAATGGTGTATTTCACACAATATTCACTTTTTGCACACTTTAATATAATCACAAAGTGGCTACTGCCTTGAGTTGAGGTCAGTATTGTCACTATCATAACAAACTTTGTATCTTTAATGGTAACCTTATATGAGTAGCAAATCCTTCATTGTTCATTAATACAACAAGATTTTAATTCAAGTGATTCTGGACTTTTTCTAATGGCTCATTTATCCTCACATAATGTAAAGGGCAGTTAGTGTCTTCAGATTGTGTTATAAGAATCTGAGCTTACCTGCTCGATGTTGACATGTGGGATGACTCCACCCTGAATAAGAAAAACTGATTAGTGACAAAGAATGCAGCTGTGGAATCTGTAGAAGACGTTTTTTGTTCTGAGCTACTCATTTCCTCTTCTCAAAAAGCTTCTCCTGTTGCCTCACAGCGAGAATGGCCTGGGTTCGATTCCCGGCCGGGCAACCAGGGTCGTTTCTGTGTGGAGTTTGCCTGTTCTCCCCGTGTCTGCGTGGGTTTCCTCCGGGTACTCCGGTTTCCTCCCACAGTCCAAAAACATGCAGTTAAGCTAATTGGACACGCTAAAATTGCCCCTAGGTGTGAGTGTATGTGTGTGAATGTGTATGTCTGTCTGTCTGCCCTGCGATGGACTGGCGACCTGTCCAGGGTGTATCCTGCCTTCCACCCAGTGAGAGCTGGGATAGGCTCCAGCACCCCACCGCGACCCAGAAGGATAAACGGTTTAGATGATGTATGTATGTATGTATAAAAAGCTTCTCATTCTCATCAGGCTGTTTTGCCTGTCCTGTAACTCTTTAATGACTCTGTCAAATAACAACCCAACCAGTGAATCTAATTCATCTTATATAATCCGTCACTGAGCAGCACTAGTAAAATGCATATCCTTTTCCAGGCTGTTATTACCCTAAAAGTTATTATGTTCAGGTGGCAATTGCATAAATGATATAAAAACAGAGAACATTAGTATATCAGTGTATTTACTGATCCATCCTAACTTGCACTAGATGTGATCCTATAACAAGAATACAAGAACACAGTCAGGGGACAACTTGTTAAACTTTGCTGGATTGTGGGAAGAGAAACAAAGGTACTTCCTCTTAAAAAAAGGTACTTCCTCTTAAAAAACTCAAAAGTTGTTGACTTGTTTACAAATTTCACACCCAGTTTATTCCCAAACTAATACGTGTATAGTCCTAAACACATTTAGCCCAAATTTCTCATGGCTGTCCCCAGACATTCTCATTACAAGATCACATCTGACCCCACCAGGCTGATTCGAACAAAGACTGACAATAATTTGAGGTGCTATCACTTTGCAAATGCATTAGAAATGCAGTAAGTTACAAACTAAGCAGTTGATTCTGTAAATGTTTTAGTTTTTCTCAGAAAAATACATCACAAATGTTTTTTTTTTTGCTTCTTATGATGTACAGAATCCTACAATCCTGAACCTGGATTAGGCATTCGACACAAAAACATGTAATCAAAGTGGATTTATGTGAATGTTAAAGATTTATGGTGCCACAGTCAGTGAATGTGCATATTGTTGATATTATCTGGCTTACCTTAAAAAATCGAAAGAAGCTTTTAAGTGGACCTGTGTGAGATAATAGACAGAACAACGAGCAGCACATCAGCACTTAGGTACAAATTCATTTATCAAATGTCTTCAACAGAGGTTTTCCAGGCTCCTGAGCTTCTTTAACAGAAAGCACAACAGAGAATCTCTTTTTGTTATGGTCTCTTGTTAAGACTAATGTAAATGACCTCTCTTCTGATTGGCTTTTTCCTATAACCATGTGTTCAAAGCAAGAACCATTTAGGAACCCTCTTTTTTAAAGTGTGCTAATTTATATTTGTGCAACTTACTACATATAGTCTGTAAACATGACATGGAGGAACAGCGCAGGGAAAAACAGTATGAATCACTAAAATGAATCACCTGCATGCAGTGTTTCCTTTATCTGAGTTGTACAGTTTGTATTGCACCCATCTGTATTTCTCAACTTTTGGTTCTCATTTTGAGAGCAGTGATGTTGGGTCAGTGTAGACTAGAGATACTTACGCCACCATACTCTTGCTGTGAGCTCCTCTGTTGTGTCTCCATTGGTGACCTGACACAGGTAATGTCCTATGTCGCACTCTCTGCACTCTCTGAGCAGTAAGGAGACGTTTCCTCTCTCCAGCTCGTGAGTGAACAGACATACTCTGCCCTCGTAGCCCCTCCCCTGTGTCAGCTGCCCGTTCTTATAGAGACAAACACAGTCCGTCTCCTTAAACCACCTGATCTCCATGGCAACAGCACTGGCTTTAGGAGACAGGTAACAGTACAGGATAGCAACACTGCCCAGTGGAGCCTTCTCCAGGCGGCGGCCGATGAGTTTAAACACACCTGTGTGTGAAAAGATAAACAAAAGAAAAAAAGATTACTTTGGTCTCTTTCTTTGTGATAAAACATAATTTTCACATAATTGCAATCTGTCGACAGTGCTGTCCATAAATGTGACAGTTATTTTGACTGTAATCCAGCACAAATTTAACAATTACTGAGGGTAAACTGGCTTTAATTCAATTGTATTTGCATCTGCATTTGGCAAATCAGTCCTACCAATTAAGAGTACATGAATACACAACCCATGCCTGTTTCCATACTCTTTGTAACATGCCCTCATTATCATTTCCCTTCTGGGGAATCCCCAACACCATTTTGAGAGCTACTGTATTACTATTTACGTTCAAGTGATGTTTATTAGATTCATTATTAGTTGGAAGGATGTGGAACAGAGTGAACATAAGTGTCAACTTCCGTAGCACTGGCTGACCAGAAACTCCAACCAGAAACTGCAATCTGATGCAATTTTGCCAAGCAAATGTTGGGCAAACCTGTTTATAAGCAATAGCAATACAACGACATGAAAAGATGTAATATTTAAAAACTACAACACTGGATTAGATATGTTCAAACTGAGATTTATGTAGCAATCTACTCCATCCTTTATACATGACTGCTGATATAACCTCATCTGCTAGTTTGTAAGTTAGCAAGCTAAAAGCTACACAGCTAACAACAACAACAAATGAAAGCCAATACACTATGGTTCTAAGCCATAGCCTATAGCAATTATTCTTAAAATGCATGTATGTTAAAAATTACACCCAAAAAAAAAAATCATTTTGCAAACATTGGCATGGTTCATAAATTAGTTCATTTAAGCTAGCTGAGGGCAAAAGCTTTCTGATTAAGACATCCTGTCCCCTCCTCCAAATGTGTCATGAATGGCTAATCTGTCATGACAAACTTCCAAGCAGTGAGTTGATGTTGGTGAGAGCATGTTAAATAAAGTAATGAAAGAGGGTCCGATTGGGACCTGATCCAGTAGGTCTTCACCTTCCCCGTGTCATTTTATCATGCTGATTGTCAGTGTGCTCCCAGTGGTGACTATGGCCTAGAAAGGTTCCATCCCCCTTCCATCCATAGCCTCCAAATCTCCATACATGGTATATCACTGCTGTCAAAACAAAACCTTCTACCTCCAAAACGAGAACTTTACAGGAGAAGGACAAAACATACTTTACTTTTAATGTAAGAATTTTTCCAAGTCATTTTGGGCTGTTTCTTTTGGTCCATTCGTTGTGAAATGTACACACAGTGTAAAGGGCAACAGGCATTTTCAAATTATGTCAAAAACTAAAAAATGACAAAAATAGAGATACGAGGTTTTGTTCTGACAGCAGAGCAGAGTTATCCAAGATTGGTGCCAAATGGACATATTTTTTTGTTTTTGTTTTTTTTTGTTTTAGTTTATTTGTTATCTATTTATTTTGTTATTTTGGGTTATTTTGCTCTTACCTTAAACAATGTCACTCACTCTTCATCATGTCACTGAATGTACATTCTTTTTATGGCTAAAACATACTTGGGGAATACTTGGGGGTGACAAAACTCATGATCACAGATAAACGATCATTTTTGATTATATGATTATAATTATCATTATAATGAGTATCAAAGTCTATTAATATATGTAGAGTTAATGTGGAAACAGTTACAGTACAGGTACAGTATATTAAAGCAAGGCAAAGAGCACCTTTATGTTAAAACAACCTTTATTCGGTAGTAGTACTTCATTATTACTTTAAATATTAAAGTTGTTATTTATTATTATATTTCACAGTCAATAACAAAAAACTTCAGTAACTGTGCATGCACACACACACACACACACACACACACACAGATATTGGCCACCATCTACATATTAACACAAACCCCACAAACTACTTGGGTACAGAGCAAAAAGACCCAATGTAACAAATAGCAAGTTTTGACTCATAATAGGCAGCATAATTACAGCTGCTAGGACTGTACTGTGTAACTACAAATGCCCCCAAACTCCTGATTTTAAAGAGTGGACTGAAAAAGTTATAGAACCTGCATCTTATGAGGTTATGATGGGGAGAATTAATGGTGATAATACAATTCAACTGAATCTGCAAACTGCACAAATATTATTATATCTATCTTCACACTTATGTCATGCTATTTTTAATATTCCTTTCTATATATTTTTTTCTGTCCTTTTCAATGAATAGCTGCTCCAAAATTGCACATACATGCTGTACTGTACCTGTTTTTTATCATTAATTAAAAAATGGAACTTGAACTTGGTATTTTTTTCATGAAATAACTCATATGTGTGCTGATGTTTGATGGATGATGTAAGATTCTGCTGCAGTGCACTACATTTCCTGAGAAACAGGATGTTTCAAAAGTGCACATTGTTTCAGAAACTGGAGGAAGTGAACAGGTTTAGTTTATGATACAGTGTTATATGAGCAAATGAAGAGGTGTAAGGAGAATCTGCACTTAATCGACTGTCTAAATTTATGTCTTCAGTTTTTCACATTTGCTCACATCAAAAAGATGGTGGGAAATTGAGGACAGGTAAAGCAGATTACTGATAAACATCTGCAAGCTTAACTTACGGTTAGATGCAGCTGCCATGTCTCAGAGCTGTCACAAACGATGCCTAATACAATCCTTTGAAAGGAAAGAGAGAGAGCGAGAGAGAGAGAGACAGAGAGACAGTTTTAATTTTATGCTAACAAAACAGTTTGTATTCATATCCATCTGACCTTTTCTACATAAAATCTCTTATAGTGTATGTTGTGATTGTAGAACTCCATCCTGCCTTTATGTTAACATTATTCTTTTTCTTTATATTTTTCTCTCTTATTGCTGATTGTAATGTGTTTTAGCCCAATGCTAGTGTAAGTTCAGTCCTCTTACCTTTACCGCTCTGCAATGCTGAAGGGGAACGGCATCCACTTACAAAATCTCATGTAAAATCTTGTAACGTCTTCTTACTGAGCTAATGAGACTCATCATAATCTCTACGCAGCTCTCATCTACTTTGCATTATCGCACTGCTAGCCAGACAGGATGTCTTGTTGATTGTATTTTCACTTTCAATTCTCTTCTTGCAGCATTTCGAAATCTCCTTCTGCACCAGCCCTCCAACTCCACCAATCATCAAGTGCTCACCTCCTCCTCTCTCTAGAGCTCCGTCTCTTGCCTTGATAATGCTTTTTTAGCAAATTCAACAGCCTTTACACCCTTGTTTACTGAAGTAAACATATACATTTTCTTCATACATAAGCCAGTACATAGTGTAATTAAATATCACAGCTTTCTAATTGGCGTCCTCGGTGTATTTTTCTTGTAAAGTCCTGGTTGGTAATCTGGTTGCATATACCTATTTGTGGGTACAAATGGATGGGAAGGGATCCAAGTATGAGGTTTATTACCAAATGATTTAGTGCATTAGCCACTTAAGATTCAGCCCCAGCATGTGAAAAGGGACGATGGTATTAACTTGGTGCTAATAGAAGACTGGAAATCACATAGAGGCAATCGCGCTAATTAGAATTGACATTACAGCCAAAAACTACTTATGAAGTGAAAGTTTTTGCAAACCCTGTTATATTATGATATGGTAATTTTATATGATAAAGGTTCATGAAACAACTGCAATATACAGTGACGGATGCCTGAAGGTTCTTGTCCTCCTTCAGCAGTCCATGTTTGCAGTCCATTTTGGGCAGAATAATTAATAAATCAATAAATATTATTTATTGAAAATTGTGTAATTTATCATATTTTATGATATGCTGCCTGCTTCTCTGTGCCTAATAACACCCTTACCTGTGATAAATGACTGTAACACATGCCTTCTCATGGCTTATTGCTTTACTTTAACCTATTTCTTTTTGCCTCAAGCCATACCAGCAGCAGCATGTTCATTCACTTTGATTCAACATAAAGCAAGAGTGGCTAGAAGAGAATAAAGGTAAGCATTTAAAAGAGAGAACTGTAAGCAACAGTAAGTAAATATAGCTATACTCTGATTTTAACATATTACATCATTTTCCATGACATATTGATTTTTATTGTTACCTGTCATTAGCTCAGGCTAAAATAACAAAAGATATGAAATTAGTACATTTATTTTTCTTATACTGAACCAAATAAATAAACATTACATTTTGTTGCTACCAAAACAATCAATCACAAAACTACCAAATTTTGAAAATACAGAAATATAGAAAATTGTAAAGGGTTCACAAACTTTCAAGCACCATGGTATGTGATATTATCAGGGCTTGATCCGTTGCTGTTTTGTCCTCAGAGCATACCTGTGGACATTTCCTGTGCCTGTGGATACACACACATTTTCTAAAGCGCTTATCCTTCTGGGTCGTGGGGGTTGCTGGAGCTTATCCCAGCTCTCATTGGGCGGAAGGCAGGATACACCCTGGACACGTTGCCAGTACATTGCAGAGCAGACAGATGGACATGCACATTCACACCTAGGGGCAATTTTATCGTGTCCAATTGACCTGACTGCATGTCTTTGGACTGTGGGAGGAAACCAGACATGGGGAGAACATGCAAACTCCACACAGAAAGGACCCTGGTTGCCTGGCCGGTAATCGAACCCAGGCCCTTCTTGCTGTGAGGCAACCCGCTGCGCCACTATGCCACCCACCTGTGGATAATTCACTGCAATTAACTCTGACCTGTCATGGATGATACCAGTCCATAAAGTATGGCAGTACCATAATCTGTCACTGCACATGTTCCAGATTTCGGGGTACACACACACAGCGATGTTGGAAGTGTAAATCATGATCCGTTCCAAAGGAATAATACTTATATCTGTGATATCTTTAAAACAGAAACCACACATTCCTTTCGTCTCCTATTACATGCATACTGTTTCTTGTATTTGTGTGTGTATATATATATAACCTTGTTTCTACGCTCATTGTCCATTTTATCAGCTCCACTTACTATATAGGTGCACTTTGTAGTTCTACAATTACAGACTGTAGTCCATCTGTTTCTCTGCATACTTTGTTAGCCCCCTTTTACCCTGTTCTTCAGTGGTCAGGACCCCCCATGGACCCTCACAGAGCAGGTACTATTTGGGTGGTGGGTCATTCTGAGCACTGCAGTAACACTGACGTGGTGGTGGTGTGTTAGTGTGTGTTGCGCTGGTCTGAGTGTACAATGCTTGTACAAGTTTAGTTAGCCAATAGAAACATGCCTGTATCTGTTTTAGTTGTTGAAGTTAGCATTTTAAACCTTTACCAAATGTCCTCTCTTCCTACAGGTATCCATCTGGTTCTTAACTGATCAGGACTTACAGCTTGACCCATGTGCTTTCACCTTTAGTATTGCTTATAGTATTGCTCTTCATATTATATATACATATTTCATTATATGTTTTACTACATCTTTCACTAAATATTGCCAATATTCTACATTTTAAGATGTGTAACTACGGCTCACATGCTTTGCTTTTTTCTTTATTTTGCAAAACTGTTACACGAAAGCAGTACAGCTTTCAAGATTGTGTGCTGTTGTGAAAAACATAGTACATTGTTATTCACAATAACATGCTCCTTCTTGTATTCTATTGCATATGCTCTTTCTTTATCTTGTTGATGTTTAGATATTTTTTTCATACTGCCTACTTTTTTGGGATTATTCTCATCTTTATGTTTTGTGAGTGTTTATTGCTAATTTTGCTTAATTTTTCTTCATTTTTGATGCAGCCATGAAGAATCCACTTTGGCAAGCTGCAAGTGACAAAGAAATTGACCAGAGACCTCTGAATCTGTTAAGGGATGAGTATATTTACACAGTAGGGTGGGCTTCAGATATTCATTCTCTTGCTCTCTCTCTCTCTCTCCCACACATAGGTAAACACTCACTGGCCATTTTAAGGTAATTCTAACTAACAGATTGCAGTCTTTCTGTTTCTCTGCATACCTTTTAGCCCCCTTTCATCCTGTTCTTCAGTGGTCAGAACCCCCACAGGAACACCACAGAGCAGGTATTATTTGGGTAGTGTATTGGACACAGCAGCAATGCTGGAGTTTTTAAACACTGCGGCCACTCACTGTCCACTCTATTAGACACTCCTACCCTGTTGGTCCACCTTGTAGATGTAAAATTACAGATGATTGCTCGTATGTTGCTGCAGTTTGTGTTGGTCATCCTCTAGTCCTCTAGTCCTTTACCAGTGATCTTGCAGACTATAATCTGCCATTGCAGAACTACAAAGTGTACTTATACATTAAATGGACCTGATTAAATGGAAAATGAGCATAGATACAAGGTAGCTGTACATAACTAAGTGGCCAGTGTATACATATAATCAAGTACAATGGTGTACTGCACTCACCAATTTAGCAATTGCTTCAATATACTTTCTGGAGTAATCAGTTCATGTCCATATACAGGTGAACACAGGTGAGTCACCCAAATTTTACCTGTTCTGTGCCTTTGTGTGGTAAGTGGAGATGATAAAATTCATAAAATGGACAGTGTTACTAATAAAGTGTGTATCTATATTTGTGTAAGTGTATCTATTAACACACTAGAGTCGCATACTAGTGTGTGAGTCAGTATATTTATGCACACCCACACACACACACAGATACACACACTTACCCACTGATGGGGCATGATAACATCAGTGCCCATTCTCTACTTAACTGTGGAGGGGATTATTTTATAATGACTTGCACGTACCTCTCTGCCATGAAGGGCTACAAAACCTTCTCTCAAAAGTATTGAAAAACAATGTTTCAGGCATTGGGTCATGTTTTCATAAGCTTTTTATGTAACAATTTGCTGTGAAGTAGCTTTTGGCAGCATTAAACGCTTTAGACAGTACATTTCTATGGAACTGAGCGTTTCACATCAGACCATCCCGAATGACTTTTTTTTTAGCATCTTAACTAAGTAATTTTGCAGCATTATTAAAAATTAGTGGAATTTTAAAACTTTTAAGCCCTGACCAAACATAGACTGACCAGTCCACTAAGGACAGTTAAATGCTTTTGCAAATGAAACAAGCAAAACAATTAATACACACAAGGTGCTTTAATATCTATACAGTCAAAGAAAAGAAAAACGCAAAGAAAATCACATGACAATAAATTCAGAAATAAATTAAAGGTGATACACAACATAACAACCTTGCATTAGTTACAAGAATTGCAGTGAAGTATTTAGAGGCTAATAAAGGTGATACACAACACAACAATCTTACATTAGACACGAGAAGTGCAATGAAGTATTTGGAGGATAATAAAGGTGATACACAGCATAACAATCTTACATTAGTTACAAGAAATGCAGTGAAGTATTTAAGACACAAGAAGTGCAGTGAAGTATTTGGAGGATGATATTACAACAAGCAAAGGTGTGTATAACGGATAAACTCTTCAATGATCTTCCCACGTACTTCATCAATAACAGTGAAGAGGATCAGGTTGTTCCTCCAACATTTCTCTCCAAAAATCTCCTCCATTTTCACCAGCAACATTCTCTTCTCTTCTGGGGCAGAAGGATGGACACAAGAGTCCCACTCCCTGTCTCAGCTCCTCCAGAGAGAGTCCAGGACAGAACCAGCCCAGAATGTCCACCACAGTCACCTGCTTCCCAGCCACCCCTGTCTGCTCTCACTCTCTCCAGCCTGGCTCCTCTCCTCTCTGCCCAGGATGGTGTTTCCTGCTGCTGTCTTCTGCTACAGAAACTGACACTGAATTTTCCAAACTCTGCAGATGAACAAAAATGTGTCATTAGTTATTACTGCAGTGAAGCCACATTAAAAAATAAGCTTTGCGCTTGATCGAGGTAAACTTGACCTTGTTTTAGGGGTCAGTGAGAGTAGTAAGATGAGGGAGAAGCTGTTGAAAATAAATAAATGTGTGTGATAAACTTTCCTCTGCCTCTGATCAACAACAATGGCAGCCACATTAGCATCAAAACTAAGACAAGCTTTTCTCAGGTGTCACTATCAGTTTTAGTAAATCAGAATAAGTGCTTCATTAGAATAACCTCCTCCCAGTATACTGTGCTTTGAGAGGGAAACTCCAAAAAATGCACAGGCAATGAAGCAAGAGAAGCTCCACCCCTTT